TTTCTTCTTTATTTATCGTGAGCAAAAGGGCCGTTTGATCACTAGTGAGCAAAATTCGTCGATTCGTTACTATGCCTTCGGTTGCTATGAAAATTAATGTAAGAAAATCATAGGAGGTATTCTGCAAACGTTAAATTTATTTTACTTAAATAAGTAATATGAATGTGGAGAAAATTACGTTTAGTACTCTTGAGCAACCGTCCTTGTACTCTCGCTCTAGAGATGAACACTACTCGCTCGCTCCGCTCGCTCGTGTCACGTGTGTTCTAATCTAGAGGTCAAGAGTAAATACTGCCCCTGCTCACTTGTACTAAAAATAACTATTTTCCTAATCTTAATTTTCAGAAAATGTTCTTCATAATCAGAGCTTCTTTAAGAACAAACAATTCTACAAGGGAGCCATGTATTTCTGTAACAGATAGTATATCTTATTCCCTGTTTTCCGAAATGTATATGAATTCTTTTAGCCTCAGATTCTGCAATAGCCTTTTTCGTTTGTAATGGAAGTTAAAACAGATAAATATGCCGTGACTATCTAAAGCTTTAGGATTTTCTGATGAGCGAGTGCCTGATTAAGTTTTCATTTTTAGAGTTTTGATCGCACGGGATTTGGATTAACGCAAATTCTGACGTTTAAAACAAATGTCCCGCGGTTAATCGGAGCGAGTAGATTATTCAAGCTTAATTGGTAGCATTTTTATCTTGTGGTAGGTATCAACACCGAACGAAAATGCAAATTAAATAGTAAGTGAGAATTTCCTGAATAAAAACCTGAATAACAATGATTCAAGCTCCTTCTCTAAAGGAATTGCTAATTACAAATTAAACAAGATGTGTGTTTTATTTGTGATGACAAACCTACTTTACGTCCATGTTGTAATGAATAACTCAAAGAAATATATGTCCACACAATCTCCATTGTATTTGGTTTTGACGAAAGAGAAACTTTTGTTTCACAACAAAGGAAAAGGCTTAATTAGAAATTAACCACGAAGAGTAAACAAATAATGCTATTAATTTAAAAACACAATCACATCGGTTTCATTTCAAATTGGGCATGCTGCGTTCCATATGTGCAGTATGGGCCGTTTCATAATTTCGTTAATCTATTTGCTAATTTAATGAGATAATGCGGATTAGCTGTTAATATCTGGATTAGTACTTCCTATTTTTTGAAACATTAACCGCGTAATGGTTAGTTATTGTTTGCCTAGGTTGAGCTATTCTATGGGGGTTTTGTTAGGAAATTATTTGTTGCCCCTAGCTAACACACCCTCAATTCAGCCTAATCATTTCTGTATCCAAACTGAAAGTGTGATGAATTTTGTACCTACCTAGAACGTGTGTACTCGTATATCATGATCTAGTCTAAATATTTACTAATTTCCTCATAAACCCCTATGTTAACTTAAAAGCTTTTTGTTTGAAGACCTCGAATCGATATAAACGATCAGATAAGGCGATTAGCTTTGTTTGGAATTTGTGCAAATGATGGTAAAGTCGTGCGATGACTGTGACTGTTTTGGACTACTAATTTTTAGTCTTACAGAATTTCACGCTTCTAAGGGCAAACTTCCGTAAATTTTTAAATGTTTTTGCATTATTTATTTATGCCTCGTCAATTACTGCACTTGAGTTCATAAATTTTAACGAAAACAAAAGAGAAACTTTCTAGCCACCTGCCCTATTGTGTTCAGCATGATTTAAATAATTTCGTCAAATCTTCCAAACATGACCGTGGTTGATGGGAACGTGCTAAATCAGTACGAAAATGAGATTCTAATTTAATCACAAAACAATGTGATGCAAGAAGTGTAATGTATCGTTATCATGAGGATTCGTATTTTGGGTAAAAATGACATTTTAGAATATGCGGAAATCGCCAAATTGCGTCATTATCAATATAACATTCATTGCTATCGTAATTACTCAAATATCCTTGGATAATTTGTGCAAGCGGGTAAATTTATCACGTAGGTAAGTACATTACGACGGATGAAAAACTGCATATTTTGTAATTAGTAATTGCCTTATTGTAAAGAATATAATAAGAGTTAGCCTCGACTTTAGCATAAAAATACCAAAGAATTGTGTAACATTTTCAATATTGACGCATTTTCGTGTATTGCTTCTTTTGCGTTTTGGTGCGACACTATGTTACTGTGAAATTGGGATTACACAAACTTGTAGTAACGAAGTCAATAGCAGAAGACATAACTAACATAAAATCGAGCATAAAACGAGGCACAGTGAGGCCCATGCCAAAGACTTCGTTAAATTCTGATGCTAACACTTCATTTCGTTCCACATTTATATCCTCAATCCCCCTTATTTCCTGTTTCCATAACAGTACAGTACTGCTGTAGTGGGAAACAGGGAAAAATGTAAATGTACGATGACAGTTTTCAAGACACATGATTCCATATGTTTTCAATTCACTTAAAAAAGAAAATATTCAAGAACCTCTAAATGTTTTAAAGAGCTATGAGGGTCATCAAGAGAAGTCTTTTTGGGTCTTCTTTAGCCTTTCAGGGGATTATTGGCCTTTAGTCGAAGAAAATACTTTTAGAATATTCAACATTCAAGCCTTCATGGCCATGAAATGTTAGCCCTTTAAACGTTTTTAATGATCTCTACAGCTTTTTAATTTAGAGCGTATCAGACCCTTAAAAGCCTTGGGCAGTGACTAAGAGTGTAAGAGCTTTCAGTAATCTTTACGAGCATTTAAGTAATACTTATCTCAAACTTCAAACCTTTTAAAATCTTTTACAAGCAATAAGGGTGTCCAAATGCATTTTAGAGTCTTTTAGGGCATTTTAAAGTTACCAGCGATTTCTAACAGCCCCTAGGAACAGGAAGGGTTTCCATTGGTATTGGGTAGTGGAGTTTAGAGTATTTTACTTACGCAATATGATGAAGATGATCCTGTTGTTCGGTACCTACTACAGCATTCTATCACTTGATATTACCGTAATTAAATATAAGAGTCCGATCTGTTACTCCTGTTACTTTCAAAAACTCTTACTTGAAATCTGAAAAACTCTCCCTGTATAGGTACGTAATATGTAAATAATAAAATATACAGGGTCGCTGACCGGAAACGGTCGATCATCGGGAAAAATATACAAGGTATCAAAAAAAGTTTGATACAAATGATTCGAGGTTCTTTAATGTCTACTAGACCGTAGTACTTTTAGTTATACAGGGTCATACAGGCGTGGCACACTAAAATTGAATTTTTTAAATGGAACACCCTGTATATTATTCGATATTTCAATTCCTCTCTCAATTTTAAACATAATTTGTAAGAAGCATAATGCACCCAAATTCAATCGTTTCCGAATTATCAAGTTTTGAAAATAAGTCATTGTTTTAAAAAAATTTGTTGAATGAAGAACAAAAATTAATGACATCACGAATTTCTTTTGAAAACATTCTTTGGTACTGCGAAGAACCGTTTGTGAAGTTTGTTATGATTGCTTGGAATCATTAATTATTGATTTTTGTTCAATTATTAATGAATTTTAAAAGTTTAGCGTTTATTTTCAAAACTCAATAACTCGGAAACGATCTAATTTAGATATATTTTGCGAGAAGAATTGAAATATTGAATAATCCATGGTCCATTTAAAAACATGCAATTTTGGTGTGCCATGCCTTTATGAATTATGAGCAACCCTGTATATTTAAAATTATTACTGCCTAGTTAACAATGATATTTTCCCCGATAATCGACCGTTTCCAGACTCATCAGCGACGCTGTATAATATTAATGCACATTATCTTTCAATCTTAAACATATGCTCTTTTGTATACAAAAATAAGCAGCAAAATAAAACAAAAGTTGTGTAAAAAAATTTGAAAGTGGCAGTGGCACTTAACAGAAGTGATTACTACTTTCTTCGGTCAATTCTTTTGGTCGCAATCTATTATAGGAAAAAAAAGACGCGCGCTCGGGGGTTCGAACCCGCGTCATTATAATCTAAAGATCTTGCAGTTGCGCTCGCACCTTTCTTTTGTATCTCGTATACTTTCGATGATATGACACATTCAAGGAAATGGCCAATTTTAATTTTTTTGAAATCACGTCCAACTTATTTGACATTTTGAATTTTCTCAAGCAAATTTTAATTCTACAACTGCAAAACATTGTCCATTTAACCAATTCTCTATCTTTAATAATAAGAAAGTTACCCATGCAATCTTACGCGATCTGGGACACACTATAGGTATACTGTCCATTTTTTTGTTGATTGTTTCAAATTCGAAAATTAATGTACATTAGATATAAACGCAGTAATACTGGTGTATGTGCTTGGTTCTATTTAAAAAGGTGCCTGAAACCTTCACACTCACACTTTTTATCGATGAAGACGATGAAGTAATCGAATGACATTTCTAAATTACTTGTGCATAGATATGGTTTCCCAGAACGTAGTAAGTAACTGTGTAATCGAATACTCAATAAAAAGATTAAGTGATAAGGATAAGGAATTTTGATGAAACCGTTTTCACATTTTTTCATATGATATACGTACTATACCATAAGAGTAATTTATAATCGTTTGAATAGAAGCAACAATGATTATGGCGATTATCCATCAATTTACCTTTATTGTTCAAATTCGAACACATATTTACCAAAGATAAACTGTGCCCTGGTTCTATCACATTTTACTATTATTAGTATTATTTATTATTATTAATTTTAATTCAACATTCTCCCAAAGTTTTATTGTACCGGGTGACCCAATAAGACTGTACAAATACCGGAAATACGTAAAAAGTAAATTTAAGATACAATTTAAACATTTTAATTAATTAATTAATTAATCTCATTTTCCCAATATTTGAGGTTAGGAACGAGATTTTGAAAAACGGTTTTCACTGGCCTCTTTGGATGTTTTTCACTTTCCCAGAGAGGTTTAGTCATTTAACTAAAGCTCCCAAAAAACACCCTCTTGGTACGCGTCATAAAATCATCAATAAGAATTACTCACCGGTATTTTCGACCAATATTGGCTTGGTTGGCGAAACAGGAGCGACCTTCACCTCTGTTATTGTTGTCGTGGATGGAGTTGTTTTAATTTCTGGACTTTTGTTTTTCTCAGCATCGCCTTCGGGCTGTGATTTTCTGAAGCTGCAATTTAGGTCACATATATTTTGCAATTCTGATACTGATTACCTTTACCTTAATTTTGCCAGCTCCTTTTCGTGCTTCGTCAATTTAATTTGACTTTCCAGATCGGGTACGTGCCGATTGACTCCCAATATCGCGCTCGAGTAATTGGCGTGATGCGTAAATTTGCATTTAAAGTCTTCGGGCGGACCGCATTGAAAAAGGTAACAACTTCCGGCATTCTGCAATGAAAAGGCACTGTATTTTCACATATTGACGTTATGTAGGAATTCATCTTCGAAAATCTCCAGTGAGTTTAGTCAACCTAAATGCTCATTTCCCACGCATCCCCCTTTAAACTGGATGCCCTGCAGCTTGTTTATCCGTGTGTATAGTACAATTAGGGCAATTTACACAAAGTTACAGAAGTTCTATTCTATTTCCGTAAGGTAACTTTTAACAGATATATAAAATTAGGTTGAGTGGATTAAAATAGCAATGTAAAGCTGCAGAGACAATTGTGTCGGCTACAAGGAACCTGCCATGCGGAAACTGGGAAACATAAAGCTCTTAAATCTAATGCTTTCGACTCGACCATCAAACGAATACAACTTTAAAGTAAGCCGAATATTTTCCAGCATTAAAAACGGTGGCTGGATTTCATCGATAAATTTATGACTGTATGAGACATGTCGAAAAATTACTAAAGTAAATTACACTGTTTGCTTGACCTAATAAAGTCATTACATTATGTTTTCGTTTAGATAAGATGTGGGCTTGGAATTTGGAACGAGTGGTCTAAATTTTATTACACTTGCATTATCCGAACGTGAAGCACTCGAATTGGACTATACAAGCAAAATGAAAAGTTCTACCCTCGCCGTTGCAAATTTGCATAATTAAATTTAAAGTGTCGCTGATTCAGGAACAGAGCAATATACAAAGTTAGAGTATTTACTGCGTGGTAGAGAACTCAACAACCAAAGGACCCGTTATAATCAAATATGGTTTTCAACTATCACTGATTAAAGGGTAGTTCAAAGAAAATGGCACGTAAATTTAATCCATGGATCAATTTTTGTTACTCCTCCTATTATGCATTTTTATGAGCCCTCAAAAGGGTGCAAGGTAGTGCTGACGATGAGCATCTAAAATACTTATGGTCATCGATTCTAAAGTTTGAAACCCTGTTATTGAATCACAAGCTGATGTAACTTTGCATTGGTCCAAACTTCAATACCTACTGATTGCAACGAACATTTTCTTTTGAAGTATTCGAATTCTAGATCCTCAAGAAGTATTCAAATCCTCCTAATCTCTGATTATATTGTACTACAGATACTTAATTTATGTGCGTAGAATGTACAATGGCATTTTTGTACATACTTTAGATAAAGGTTAGATAAATAAGGTGCGTCGAGAGGATCTTTCGTAATTTCTAGCAAATGATGAGTATGGCGGTGAACTTCTAACAAACCCACTCTTAAGAAACAAAAAACGGCAGTACGATTTCATCACTAGGGGAGTGAATTAAACTCACTATAGAATTCAATTTGAAGCTGACTGAAAATGTAGGTATACCCACTGAAAATTAAGATTTTAATATTAAATTTTGCTGAAGACGAATTTAAGTGTAAACCATGAAATATGGGACTTGAACTCAAAATATGAATATTTCCGGTCTAAAGCCCGAACTCTGTGAAATCAAATGTTTACTTAAACCTTAACCTATAGAGTCGGAAACCCCGGTATGCTACCTGAAATTTGTTGGTGACCTAGGAAGTGGTTGTGAAATTCATGCCTTAAACAAAAAAGAGTTTCGGATTCGAACTTGAAAATAAAGGAATGAAACTTATTCCACCTTAATAGACTCTGCGTCAGGCGCGTTGTTTGGTTCATTTACTGTCCGCATCCTCCTCTTCAAGGCAACATTTCTTCTATTTTTTAGGTCATTAAAGAAATAACGCCAAAATCGTCTCATCTTGCTACTGGTTCTTGCTCCATTTTCGTTCCCCCACTATTTTCTTAAAAACTCATTCAAAGTAGATAATCAAAACGTATCTTTCATGTGACCGTTGAATCCATATATGGATTGGTAGTTAATTTCCATGAAAAAAAAACCTACATAGAAGGCCGAAGGGTGCAATTTTTTTCCCCCAACTGGCAGAGCTATAGAGACATAAAAACATTGAACTGTAATTTTAATTATAGTTCAGTACATAAAAACTTAACAAAATCAACATGGCTTTTACAACGCATTAGGTAGAGAATCAATGGAATCTTCTTGTTTCCAAAATTCTTACCCTAAGATGACGTGAGAAACAAATGATGAAATTTGGTAACAGATCTCGTTTCTTAGAATTTAGCGACCAAATCTTGAACATAGGCATGGCTTACATTTCTTCCGAGACGTCTCTCATTAAACGTTCTAGCTGTCGTAAAAGATGATCGATTTTCGGAGCCATAAATGAATATTATTTCCACACGTTCAGCTGTACTGTAAGTCAATAAAACAAGTATAAATTGTGCACAGGTCTTGTGCAGATAAAGCGCATTTTTTAAACCGAAATAGGTTTTGTTTTTACATCACCAATGGATATATTTCTTGCAGACGTCTCAATCGCCTTTTGTGAGTACCCTCTTCCGACAATCCGTTCTTGAGGTATAAGGGAAGATAGCCGGTCATGATAAGAGGTCGAGGAGGAGGGCTATGGTTGGTAGTAATTAATTTTTTTCGTTGAGACCTTTCATTAGAGTACCATGAAGGATAAAACTAGTTCCCCCCCCCCCCCCCCCTCTTCACCCTCTAGCCCATACTTTGATAAGAGGGCAGAAAGAAGGGCAGTAGTTGGTAGAAAACGGTTCCTTTCGTTGAGACCTTTCATTAGAGTACCATGGAGGATAAAACTAGTTCTAATTCTTAAAAAATGCGCTAAAAAGAAAGCAACCAAGATTGTTTAATGAAGCAGCTCAGGTTGAAGCTCTTGGCCAATTTGCGGTAAATCCCTCAATGTCAACATTTAATTTTTTTGTTAATTATCACATTTTTGTTAAATTGTCTTAATGAATATTGACTTTATTGGTACCACTGGAAAGCATTTTTCAGTAGCTTTGCAACGATGTGTCACAAGTATGGGGTTGCCATGTAGGATTATTGAAGAGGAGGGGCTGGGGGTTAAGGGGGGTGGGTGGTTGTCACTCATAACGTCATTATGGTTCCCCCTCGATACCTCCGAAACGGTTTTGCGCGATTTTCAATATCTTCATTAGTTTGGAAAATATGGCCGACTGCAAGTTTTAAAATGGACACCCTGTATATCCCGGATCCGTCCCGCCTCCGCTCCCGCATTACCGCGTCGCGCATTTGAGTGGACCTTAAGTTCGATCATTTTATTTTATGACGGCAAGGGTAAATAAAATGAAACAAACCATTGTACATACATTGTAATGCGACATCTGTCATGCATTAAAAATGGGACCAGAAGCAGGAAATAAAATGAAGTTCGGAACACACAACAGTACTGCCCCCATGGAAACGACAGGAGATCCTAATGTTGCTATTTTTGACGTCTAAATTAAATTTCGAATTTTCAGTTCTGCTTCTGCTATTAAAATAATGTTTTGTATTATGCACAACGAGAAAGAGAAACTTAATTGCGGTTGGCTGATCCATTTTATTGAATTTTGTTTCAAATTAGCTATGAATCTAGTTTGTATTTATCCACTTTCGTTTAAAAGGTCGTATTGAAAATCTGTTCGATAATTATGTTCTTAAATACCTAAAGAACATACACAGAAAATTGCGTGAAATTTTGATCCCTTTCATGTTTATAATATAAGAACTAATTGCAGATTCAGCCGCCAAAAATCCAAACCTCGTCGAAATCAGAAGTCGAAATGTGCATACCCAATATAGTTTCCAAAGGTGTACCTACCCCTTTCTCGGTACCACATCTTATACCTACTCGGTACTCTTATACTCTTAACAAACAAAATTTTTATTTTTTCCCTTCTTGGACATTAAGCTAAAGCGTTTCCGTGTTTTCCGAGCAAAATTTATAGAGGTTTTGAAAATGCATAAAATAAAAACATTGTTCCGAAAAAAACACCCGACCATTTCCACATCTCCTGGTTATCCCTAGGCGCAAGCAATCGTTTGGTTATTAGGGTACCTGTTTGTAAAGGAAGTTAAAGTTATGTCATTACTGTTTTCGAAAAAAATCTCCAGATTCATACAAGACATCAAAATGGGGACAAAGTAAATTATCCCATCAAAAAATAGAACGTAATTTACAATATAATAATAACGCGGCAATCGCGTGCAGTTCCTTTATACTAAAATCGTTCTAGATCTGCATTTCTGGAGCTGGTCGTGACGTGCCCTTGAGCTAAAAGTGAAAACAACAAATCAATACCGAGATCAAGCCGGCGACGTCTACGCAATTTTGCTACTGGCCAAAAGAAGAGGCTCCAGAACTCAGAATACGGCTATAATAGTCAATATAGGCGGAGTGAATGTACGATGAATGTATTCAAAATTTTCCGCTCCCGAACTCAAATTTGGTAATAATCCGACGACGAGGATTTCGGCTCTTATGCGAAATCACCTCGCCCGTATTAACCATAAAAATTTATGGAACTTTGGAAAATAAAGTAGGTAACAAAGCTTACTGTAGACGTTGAGCTGAATTCGCAATTTAAACAGAGGCTTAATTGATTTAGTATTCAAGGGTCGTTCTGGATTTGTCATGTAGAGAATGTTTTAATACTGTTTATAACAGGAGACCTTTCAAGAGCCCCTATCAGCATGACAATGGCACCCTACAAAATTACTTAATCATGCGGTCACTTAATATAAATAAAACGCTTGCAGTAGTTATTTATTATACAAGAAAATAAGGGGTTGTTTTAACTTTCACGAGATAGATAGTTTCCATTTATCGTCGTGTATAATACAAAACTTTATCTTATAGCAGAAGCCGTATAAATCATTAAAAGCTTCTTAAAATTCTGACCTTAAATTTAATTTAGACGTCAAAAATAGCAGGTTTACGTCTCCCGTCGTTTTCATGAAAACGATATTGTTTTCTGTTCCGAACTTCATTTTATTTCGTGCTCCACGTTCCCTATCTAACAAGAATGACAGATGTCATTAAAATAAACAATTATTTGTTTCTCTTTATCTACCCTTGCCGTTAAAGAGATCACTGACACCACTCCTAGTGTTGAAGAGAGGTTTCGCCTATTCGTATTTAAACATAAAATAAAGCGAGACAGACTACATTTAGAAACATGAAACAGGGCAAAATGTTGACCAAAAAAACCCTGTAAAAACGAGTTAAAAGTGTAAAAATTGATATATTTTAGTTATGCCATCTTACTTCAAAATTAAAAAAGCAAACTCTGGTCATCAATTAATTTGTAGCAATGTTAAGAATGTTAGGGGTAAAAAAGGAATAAGGGAATTGGGGATGAAACGAATGAGGAGGAAGAGTATAAGTGGATGGAAACAAAATGAAAGTGATATCCACATACAACAGAGAAGGAATTGACTTAAAAAATAAAAAAGAAGATATGGTAGATGAAAGTGAGGAGGAGGGTCCAATAATGGGGAAGAGGGGGGGGGGGCGATTTAAGGCCAAAACATGCATCGAAGGAAAATGAGGAGAAATGGGAAGAGGAACACAAGACAGAAAATTAAGCGATAAAGAGTATAACAAAGAGGGAGAAGGTTACTGTAATTATCGGAAAAGAGAGGTTGGAGAATTTTAAACGGAAATATGGAGAGAGACAGGGGCAATTCACAAACATGAGAGGAATTGAGAGGTCGATCATTGATTACACAATAGTAAGTGAAAAAATACTGGAAGAATTGACCGATGAAGTTCGAGTGTAAAATGGAAGATAAGAAGATCAAGAATTAAAAAGACACAAAGATGAAGGGAGATACATCTATGGACAAGAGACATGGGTGGCGCTGTATAGGAGGGAGACTAGAGGAATAAGGGGAAGAAATAGGAGAGAGTACAGAGGAGGAGTAGAACTGAAGGAGAGGGGAGGGAAAAAAGAAAGAAGTGGTGGGACAGGGAGTGTACAGAAGAGATAAATATATTATGGAGAAAGAAAGGAGAGAGGAAATAAAGGAGAAAGAGGTAAGAGAACAGTAAAAAGTACAACAAAAAAAGTCAAGAAAAAAGGATGGAGAGACAGAAACAATACGCTGAGCAAATGAGGGAAATAAAAACAGAGGATGTTTGGATGGTGATAAAGAGAGGAATGAAGAAAAATAGAACAAGTGGAAGAGAAATATAATTAGAAAAATGAAAACATTTTATCAAGGTACTACAAGGAAAGCAGGAGAAAGAGGAGGCTAGGGAAGAGGCAAGAAGGGAAGAGATAACAAGAGAAGAGATCGAGCAGTAACTAAAAAGACTGAAGAAAGGGCAAGGGACAGGGAGAGGCGAGATAGGAAATGAGGCTTGGATTTTCGCCACAATGAGGCTCAAAGAAAGCAGGAGGAATCTAGTAAACAAGGTAGGGAAGGGAGTGAATTTACGTGAAGAATGGAAGCAAGGAGTAAGAGTGCATTTTTTCATAAGAGGCGACAAAGACTATGTAGAAAGATAAAAAAAAGTGGAAGAGAAGGGGAGCATGCACAAATGGGTTTCAGGAAAGAGAGGGGAACGATCAACTGTATATATGTATTACACAGGTTGGTGGAAAAGGAGTTGGATAAAAAGGGCGGAAAGTTGTTTTCATGGACTTAAAGGTAGCGTTTGACAGAGTGGAAATGGAAAAATGATGGAAGATGATGAAAGATGGGAAAACAGACAAGGTGTTAAAAGGACAAAATCAAGGAACTGTATGGGGAAATGGAGTGAAAAAGAAAGCGAGATGGTAAAAGAATGCTTGACAGCTAAGATGAATCAAAAGGAATGTGGGAAGAACAAAAAGGAAAATATTATGGAAGAATAGATGCGGATAGGTTGAGGTCGAAAGGGAGAGGAGTAGGAGGAAAGATGGAAAACGAGCTGACAAAAAGGGACCTAGATCTAAAAATACAAGAGAGGGTGAAGCTAGAGGCGCCCGAGGGAGTGGTAGTTACAAAGAACCCTGCAAAGAACTAATAATGGAGTGGTTCCCAAAATGTTTATGGGAAGGAATAAAAGATTTTAAAATAATGGCGCGATTCAGATGTGGAAAAGAAAAGAGAGAGAGAGAAAAATTGAAACAAAAAGAAGAAATAAAATGTAGAATATGTTCAGAGGAAAAGGAAAGCAAAGAACAGATGTTTATGGTATAGCCGAGTAAAACACAGGGAGAAGCAGGAGTGAGGTGCTCGAAGAGGGAGGAAGACGTGAGAAGTGGAGGAGGGGAATAAGCAGCACAAAAAAAGCATAATTCACCACATAAAATTGAACCCGATTGGAAATGTTGGTAAAATGTAAGCCCAAATTCAAAATTCGTTATCTCAGGGAGAAAGGACAGTGATATTCTTGATTTCTTGCGATTTTTTTTATTCTACGGGCAATTTTGTGATGGAGACATTTTCAAAATTGTATATGCTTCTCAACACATTTACTCCATACATACACGGTGTTCCAACGGAAATGTGTAGCCCCTTAAAACAAAATAAATGTTTTAAGAAAAATCGAAACACTGGTTCAAGTGGTCCATAGTTTGGAAGGGGTTTTCATTATTTATACAACCGTTTTCATTTGAGAAATATTTTAGACGACATTTACCCCCACAAATTTGAATCTCTGATACCTTCAGTAGTTTTCCTCGTTGAATTAATGAATTCATTTTCTATCGCAGCCTTTTTTTAGCCTTATTCGTTTTAATACTTCTACATACGGACACAATTTTTGAAATATGCTCTGTCCCATTTCTTTGACACCCAGTTACCGACAATCATGTGTTACAGATTTTGAACACACGCTGTGGAAAAAGATGAAACGGCTACTGTGTGCAAGCTTCATCCTTTCTAAAATGGTCAAATAATTAACTTTTATTGCTTGTTTTCTCATATTAACAACGAATACAAATTACAGTGGAACATTAATTATAATAATAAAACAATAGGCTGTGAAGTGTTATATTCTGCTTCACCCCATCCCGTTATACTTACACTAATTATACCACATACGTGTGCCACTACTTTCAATGCGAAATTGATTAGCAAAAGACTTACCTTTTCTTCAAAGACGAACACATCACAGTTTTCAGTCTCACAGCATAATCTCAAACATTCCACTCTCGAACCCAAGTCAATTTCGTTAATATATTTAGCGCCCATATTTTTCGAATCTTGCGTTCGAATAATTTTGTCCTTGTGAACCTCAAAATTTTTTATACACGTTTGCAAATCTATGTCACTCCTCTTTTCGACAACCTTACTCACTACGAATTCCGTACCGAAGGAGATCGAAATTAAAAAGCACACCATTACTATTTGCCCTAACATAGTTTCGTATCAGAAATAAATAACGCGCATCGTAAAAAATTTACAAAATTACTAGATTTGTTTATCGGAAAATGGCCGATTTTCACCAACTCAGCTGCTCGCTGAAAATCAATTCTTGTAGGCACGCGCTGAAGCGATATTTTCCGTTCAGACAATGCGGTACCATTAATCTTTATAGAAATCACGAATTCGAGTTTTCTGAAATCTAATTTTATGGAAAATAGTTGGCTGAAACCAAGCACTTGTAATTTTGATGATGGCCCTATAATTTGTGTGAGAGAATGAGGTTGATTTATTGCAGAAGAAAGTATTTGAGGGGTTTTGATTGTATGGAATTTGAGATGCATTTAATTTTTTTTTTAATTTGCCTCCCAAAGCTCGAAAGCTTTTCCGTGCGCGCACGAACCTATCCGAAACTGTGAAGTTTTCGCTTCAACGCATTTGTTGCCGATCCTTTGTATATCGCACGCATAGTGTTTGAAACATTCTGTAGAGTGGTTGAAATTTCAGTGCTCTCTGTGTGTGTTAAATAAAAATATCAGTGCCTGACTACTGCACTATTTGGAATAATACGAAGTGCATTTAAAAAAGAACGTAAGTGTATTTGTCTTCTTAGGAGCCGAAAATGTAAATTTGCGGGCACATTATTTGAAAAATGTTGGGAGCTACTTTTGGAAAAAGTTTTTACCGCACATTTTGCCGGTGTTGTAAGATCGATACAGGCCAGAATGGACCCCAATTATGCTTGGGGGGTCCTTGCTATTCATATAAGGTGGCAATCTGAGCCGGTCAGAAAAAGTTAATTTTTAGCATTAGAAATTTGAGAGCAATTCCAACATTAACAGCAGAACGGGTTGTTAATGTCAATTTAACATACTAATAAGCGTTAAAGGAAACTGACTGTTTTTTAATTTTAATCAATGGTAAAGAGAAGGATGTCATTACTCCACGTACTTCTATCTTTATTTAAACACAGATGGGTCATTATACTCACGTCTGGATTTTCACAAGGCTGCTTCTTGCGGCTATAGCGAGCGTCTCTCATTCTTAGCTTCCGTTTGGAAAAAACGGCGATGGTTGTGATTAAAGTGTTACGTCTCGGAGTCGCGCAATCACCCTCTTGAATAAGTCCCCCATTTGGTTTATGCGGATAACCACCCTCCAAAAAAATTTTCGCACGGCAAGTGTTAAAAAATTAATTATCCACCTATAATGCACCATATAATTGCCTTCATATTGAAATCATGTATGTAGTATCATTTTTTTAATGAGTAGCTTATTTATAATTACTTTCTATATAAAAACTTAGTCACGTTCTTAATAAAATTAAAGAAAGTTTAGAAATCATTCGCAGGTTCCAATTAGTAATTAAAAATTATATGATATTACGTCAAGTGCTCTTCATTCCCATTTAAAAGTAAAAACCTTTAAATAACAAAGCGAAATCGGCATGCACGATACCGAAATTTTAAGTACCTGCAGTCGTGAAATACCGACAAAGCCGGTGTACGGTTTCCTGTAACCTTTGTGGTACGATGAGTAACCAATTTTGAAGGTTAGCGAGCGTTCTAGATAGGAAATCTGCCCACGCGATTGCTGGTTTGTTCTACGAGTAACCAATCGATAGATCCTTGAGAGCTAATCCTTTTATTTCATCCAGGGATTCGGCGAGTTTAAATGGACAACTCTTGCGAGCAAAGAGTATCCATAATTACTCTTTGCTTGCGAGCCAACATTTTTTATGGGACCAAGGGGTGGACAGAGCTTTATTTGGACCAATTTATTGTAGGTAAATCTGACAGCATTTCACAAACACTGCTGGAACTGGAGCTGGACCTGGATCTCCTTCCAAATTGATAATCTGTGCAGGTCGATCCACCCTCACCTCTCGATGCTGCTGATGAGGTACCTATTCACTTTCCAGTATTTCTTCAAACATTGTGATTTAGGAAGTAGTCTGATTCCTACTACTCTACTGATTCACCTAAAAAATTCACCCTTGTTTATTATCTAATATCAAAAATAAGCTCATTTTCTGAAGATTCGGGTTGGGGTTCTGAAACCTCGTTGTTAACAAATGATCAAACACAAAAAATTCAACCTGTTTAACTTAAATTTTATACACCTATACAAACGCTTATCTAAAAAGTAATGTCACAAAATTTCCTGGTCGCTTTTCATCTCGCTTTTCACATCTCGCAATTATTTACAAACGACGTTGACGTTTTAACTTCACATGTACAATGCGATCACGAGTGGACGGTTATTTGACATTCAACATTTAATTTACAGTAGAATGGATGAATTTGGGAAGCAGAAATGGCCCTTTATTACATATTTGAGAAAAAAATGTGCGAAATTCTTGACAGAACAGCTTCGTAGCTCAAACAAAAAATCACGTTTGGAAGGGTGTCTTCAAAAAATGGTAAGTGTAGGGAAAAAACACAGCATCATTAAATAGGTCCCTCCATTTAAAGAATAATGAAGTGATTTTTTGGTATCCCCGTTAGCTTCCGCAATAATCGACTGTCTCAAGATAAATGGGACACCCTGTATATAAATTAATTAAGTGACATTCAAGTTTACGAAACTTTGCGATTACCGGTTGCGTAATCTTCTACACCCCAATTCCTCTCGCGTATGCAGGTGCAGTTAAATCCCCATAAATCATCCCCCGGAAACTGATATGTGTTCTAGGCACAAATGCCTGCTTCTAAAATATCGTATCATGTCTTTGTTATATTCGGACAAAAACGAAATTTACCCTTTATTAGATTAATAATTTTAATCAAGTAGTTCGCGATAGTCCATAATTTTTTGTGATAGGTTCCCTCGTAAATGGCCACGTTGTTCAAGCACCTTTTAGCGCATTATCTGAAAGAAAAATGAAGAAACAAACGGGCGAGCGGACGGACTCGAGCGCCACCAAGCGGACGGCCTCGCATCTGTTCAAGGTCGGAGGTAGCAACGGTCTTGCGGGTCGGTCTCGGAACCCTCGGGTGTAAACTCAACCGGAGTAAACGGCAACGCCAAGAAACGGACGGGTTCAGAAAATGGTGGTAGTCACTTCGGAAAAACAAACAAAATTACGGCAAACTCCCTAGCGAGAATGAAAGCAGCAACACACGGAAGTGGTGGAAACGCAAATGCGGGAAATTTCCCCCCGAGGTTCCCCCCTTATAATCAGGGAAAGTAACAAAAAGCTTACCTTGAAATTAACGAAGCGGTAGCAAAAGTACGCTAACAGCCTATTCCAATAAATACCTACGGTGAAGCAACTCAATTGCAAAGCAAAATCAAATGGTACGGATGCCAAGAAATATAACTGGCGAGAGTGCAAAAAATCAAGAGATTGAAATACGGTTAAACACCCAAAAAGCAAAAGCTGGTGATTTAAATACGATACAGTTACGAAATGAATTTACGGCAATGATAAATATTAATACGGTACTAACATATTTCACAGTGTTTTTTCTATTTATTTAACCGCCCATTTGAGAAGGGAGAATCTGGAATTCCCATCTCGTACGCTTATTGTGTGCTTCTTTTGTGATAAGGGCCAGCTCAATTGGACGGGTTTCCACATTTAAATGTTAATCCTTAATTATACTTATCGAATTAATCGGAATGAAATCTCCCAAATTCTGGAACAGAATTACGGAACTCGGAAACGGTAGCGATTTCCCAAAGGAACGGAAGCACGAATCTACTGGGAAACAAGAAAAACAAAACCCCCTTTTAATAATTAACAGAAAGAGAAGTATCAACTCCTACCTTTGAAGTTAAACGGTAGAGTAAACCGGCAAAATGGAAAAATTGTACGATGAAAATTAAAAAATCTGGGAAACGGCTTAAACAACTTGTGAAATTAACGCGCTTCCAGTGACATTACACCCAACCAAATCAGACGAGGTTTGCTGCAACACCTCTACCTAGCTATCGGTAATTATTCTTATCCATGTACACGAGGACGGTTCCTGGTTTTAAATTAGCAATGCGAAAATAAAATCTGCTAATAATTAATAAACGGAACGTAAATCACGTATCTTACAAATTGTGGGAACGGTGTAAAAACTGATAAATTGTTTTCTTTTAGTATCGGTCGAGGGATCGGTGCACAACACATTAATAATTCTGCACTCTATTGACACCTCCTGGAATAATTATAAGTAGAAGTTTTTAGTGCATTTTTGCAATTTTGTAAAAAGGTAGCATTTAATCTCACTTTAACCGGCCGGCTGGCTGGCTGGTAGCAAATGCGAGCCGGTAGAAGAACGCTTGTAGAAAGACGAGGAGTGTATATGAACCTACCGGGGCCGTACCCTCAACAGGCTTGCGCCCAATTACAGAATGACCCGCATAATTATTTTTAGAGGTGCCACTGCAGAAGGTCTTAACTTGTTCTATACTACTCCCGGTATTTACCTTACGAACTAGGAGAACCTAATTCGGAGTAGCCGACAGAATGCTCGAAGGTGGTCTAAGGAAATTCCCATCTCTGTCGCAGATGAAAAATTCTGGCCTCAGCCCAGGTTCGAACACCCAATCTGCGGATTTATAGCCCAACGCTCTACCATTGAACTACAAAGTCAACGCTGTAGAGTTTACGACGCGACGTCGATCGAAATGTCTCTATTGCCACCGTTACCATTTTTAGCACCAAGTTCACACTTGTTTTATTGCTATTACCACTTGTAGCATTGGATTTAATTTAATAAACTCAACGCTGAATAAGTATATTTATAATCATTTGTAGGTTAGATTCACGTTTTTCTTGCACGCTCATTCTACATACACCGACGGGCAGACCTACACACGCACCGTGCGTCGCATCCAGCCGTAGACAGAGACGGAAAAGGTATGCTACACTTGGAGCTCTGCAACGCATACTCATACTTAAGCTCACCGAAAGACGCTTACAATAGAAAGTTTGAAATATATAAAGGGGGACTGGATACAGTATGGGGGGGGGGGGGATGCAGCCCTCCCTAAGAAGGCCTAGCTACGCCACTGCTGAAAACAAAAAAAAAACGCAAAATTGCCTGGTAATGACTTACGGACGTTCACTTAAGTCTACTGACGTTCGATGCGAAATCCTCCGTGGATTCGAACAGAAA